GAGTTTATCCTGTGTGGAGTTTGCTCAGCTTCTTGACTCTATGGGCTTATTGTGTCTTACCAAATGTGGGAGCTTTTAGTCATTATTTTCTCAATTACCTTTTTGGCCTCACCTTCTTTCTCCTCTCCTTCCAGGTCTGTAATGACACAAATATTGGATCTTTTGTTATAGTCCAATTAGGTCCCTGAAGCTCTGTTTATGTTTATTTTTCAGTTTAATTTCTCTCTATTGTTCAGATAGGGTAATTTTTATTATTCTATCTTTGTATGCACTGTTTCTTTCCTCTGTTCTTTTCATTCTGCTGTTGAACTTATCATTGAGCTATTTATTTCAATTATTCTTCAGTTCTAAAATTTTTATGTGTGTGTGTATATATATTTATGTATGTATATACACACCATGAAACACTACTCAGAAAATAATGAACTATGAAAAATAAATAATGTCTTTTGCAGCAACTTAGATCAAGCTGGAGACCATTATTCTGCAGGAAGTAACTCAGGAGTGGAAAATCAAATACTACATGTTGTCACTTACAAGTGGAAGCTAAGCTTTAGGTGTACAAAGGCTTATAGACTGGTATCACCAACATTGGAGGCTCAGAATAGATAAGGTTGGAAGGAGGGTGAAGGATGAAAAACTACCTATTGGGTACAATGTGTACTATTTGGGTGATGTATATTCTAAAATCCCAGACTCTCCATCACTATACAATTCATCCTGTAACCAAAAAGCACATGTACTCTGTATTAGGATGTTCTTGCACTGCTATAAAGAAATATGTGAGGCTGGGTAGTTTATAGGAAAAGGGGTTTAATTGGCTAATGGTTCTGCAGACTATATAGGAAGCATAGTGGCATCTGCTTCTAGGGAGGTCTCAGGAAGCTTACTATTATGGCAGAAGCCAGAGGGGGAGCTGGCACATTGCGGCTCCTGGCTGGACCAGGAGCAAGAGAGAGAGAAAGGGGCTGCAGGTATCATACACTTTTAAATGACCAGATCTCACAAGGTCTCACTTACTATCCTGAAGACAGCATCAGGCCATGAGAGATCTGCCCCCATGATCCAAAAACCTCCCACCAGGCCCCACCTTCAGCATTGAGGATTACAATTCAACATGAGATGTGGGCAGGGAAAAATGTATATCCAAACTATATCATTCTGCCCTGGACACTCCCAAATCTCGTGTCTCTCTCACATTGCAAAATACAATCATGCCTTCCCAATAGTCACCCAAAGTCTTAACTTGTTCCAGCATTAACTCAAAGTTTAAGGTTCAAAATCTCATCTGAGTCTCATCTGAACAAGGCAAGTCCAGTCCACAAATGAGCCTGTAAAGTCAAAAGGAAGTTATGTACTTCCAAGATAGAATGGAGCTATAGTCATTGGGTAAACATTCCCATTCCACAAGGGAGGAACCAGCCAAAAGAAAGGGGTTATAGGCCCCATACAGGTTTAAAACCAGGCGGGGCAGTCATGAAATCTTAAAGCTCCAAAAAAGTCTCCATTGACTCCATGTCCCACACCCAAGTTACACTGATGGAAGGGGTGAGCTCCTGAGGCCTTGGGCAGCTCTTCCCCTGTGCCTTTCGAGAGTTCAGCTCCTGCAGCTGCTCTCACTGGCTGTTGAGTGCCTGTGGCTTTTCCAGGCTCAGGGTGCAAGCTGATGGCGGATCTACCATTCTCAGATCTGGAGTTTGGCCACCTGCTTCTCACAGCTTCACTAGGCAGTGCTCCAGTGGGGACTCTAGAGGTTCCATCCCCACATTTCCTCTAGGCACTGCCTTAGTAGAGGTTCCCATGGGGGCTCTTCCCCTACAGCAGACTTCTATCTGGACACCCAGCAGGCTTTTCTGTACGTCCTCTGAAATCTATGTAGAGGGTACCAAGCCTCATGCACTCTTATGCTCTGTGCACTCACAGGCTTAACACCATGTGGAAGCTGCCAAAGGCTATGGTGGCTTACCCACTCTGGATTGGTGGCACGAGCAGTATCTGCGACTCTTTGAGCCACAGCTGGAGCCAGAGCAGCCAGAATGTGGGGAGCATTGTCCTGAGGTTGTGCAGGCTTTGGGAACCTTGCCCTGGCTACGCAAACAATTCTTCCCTCCTAGGCCTTTGGGCTTGTGATAGGAGGGGCTGGTGAGAAGAGCTCTGAAATGCCTTCAAGGCCTTTTACCCACTGTCTTGGATATTAGCACTTGGATCCCTTTTAGTTAAGCAAATATCTAACAAGTAGTTGTTCCACAGCTTGCTTGAATTCTTCTCCCCTAGAAAGCTTTTTCTTTCTCTGCCACATGGCCAGGCTGCAAATTTTCTAAACTTTTATGCTCTGCTCCCTCTTTAAAGCTCCAGCTTAAAGTCATTCCTTTGCTCTTGCATCTGGGCGTAGATTGTTAGAAGCAGCAGCCAGGCCACTTTTTGAGTGCTTTGTGGCTTAGAAATTTCTTCTGCCAGATACTCTAAGTCATTGCTCTGTAGTGCAAACTTCCACAGATCCCTAGGGCATGAATAGAATGCAGCCAAGCTCTTTGCCAAGGTGTAACACACGTGACCTTTGCTCCAGTTTCTTGTAAGTTTCTCATGTCCATCTGAGGCTGGGCTTCATTGTCCGTATCACTATCAGCATTTTGGTCATAACCATTTAACCAGTCTGTAAGAAATTCCAAACTTTTCTCCTCTTCTTGTCTTTCTTGGAGCCCTCCACACTTTTTCTAACCTCTGCCTGTTACCCAGTTCCAAAGCTGCCTCCAAATTTTCAGGTGTTTTTAAAGCAATGCCCCACTCCTCAGTACCAGTTTTCTGTATTAGGCTGTTCTTGCATTGCTATAATGAAATGCCTGATACTGGGTAATTTAAAAAGAAAAGAGGTTTAATTGGCTCATGGTTCTGCAGGCTTTAGAGGAAGCATGGTGTTGGCATTTGCTTAGCTTCTAGGGAGGCCTCAGGGAGCTTACAATCATGGTGGAAGGCAAAGAGGGAGCAGGTACCTCACATGGCAAAAGCAGGAGCAAGTGAAAGGGGGTGGGAGGGGGCACACACTTAAATGACCGTATCTCACAAGAACTCACTTATTGAAATGACAGAACCAAGCCAAGAGAGATTTGCCCCCATGACCCAAACACCTCCCACCAAACCCTACCCTCAGCATTGGAGATTAGAGTTCCATATGAGATTTGGGTGGGGACAAATATCCAAACTATATTACAGTCCTAAAGCTATTGAAATAAAAAATAAAAATAAAATTTTAATTGGATGCTTTCTATGTTCTATTTCTTTGCTGAGACTCATTTTTCATTTGTTTGAAGTATGTTTGTAATTGCTCGTTGAAGCATTTTTATCCTGGCTGCTTTCAAATTATTGTCAGCTAATTCTGTCATCTCTGACATCTTGGTTTTGGCATCAGTTGATTGTCTTATTCAATTTGACACCTTCTTGGTTCTTGGTATGACAAGTAATTTTCATTTGAATCCTGGACATTTTTTGTATTACATTATGAAAGTCTGGATCTTCTCTAACTTCTCTGACATTCCTGCAGGAAGATAAAAGATGGGGGTAGGTGGCCATCAACTTGTTAAGGTAGAAGTCATAGTTTCCCCTTGGCCTCTGTTGATACTCAAGCTGGGTGGAGGAGCTCCTTGTTACTGCTGGGTAAGGGTGGTAATTCTAGCTTCCCATTTGGTCTCTGCTGATACTGTGGTATACGGGGCTGGTCTTCTTACCATTGGCTAATTGTGAAAGTTGTAATCGCCACTAGGCTTGCTCTGACACCACCCCAGTGAGGAGGGGGCAAGCATCTTGTTGCTGCTAGGTGGGGGTACAAGCCCAGGCTCCTCAGTCGTCACTGATACTGCTGCAGAGAGGGCCTTGTAACCAGTTAGTGAGGATGAAAGTCCTGGCTCCCTGTTTTGCTTTCACTGATTCCACCCCAGTGGGAGTGTTGGGATACCTGGTTATAGCCTTCAGAGGGCGAAAGTCCAGGTTCTTCTCGACCTTGGCTGGCATGATGGGAATGGGGTTGCTCTTTTATTTTGTGCTGTTTGGCTGGAATGGAGGTATTATTATCTGTTTTCAGTCTTTCTAGGTTGCCTAGTCGTTTGACTAGACAAAGCAGTACACTTGAATTAGTTGTTAATTTTAACCTGTGTAGCAGTGAAGGCCATTACTTAATTCATAGAAGCAATTTTTAAGTTGGATTGGGGTATCTTATAACTGGCATTTTTTTTAATGTAGGGCCTTGTTTCTAGTCTCAAATTATACTTTACTAAACTCAAATACTGTTCTTCACTAATTGAGTATATGAGAGAATGGTCATTTTGAATAAGTGCATCTTTCAACAAAATTGTTAAAGGATTTCTACTTTTGGCAGAATCTGAAAACTGATTTGTCTAAAATGAAAGACAGTGGAACAGGAATTGAATGTTGACACTCAGTCTGTGTGTTGGGGTGGGATGGGGTGGTTTGAAAATGATGCATGCTAATGACTTGCTAATCTGGAACAAATGAAGTGTTGGTTTAAAATATCTAATAAAGCTTATCTGTAAAACACTTTATCTTTGTGCTTTGCATTTGCACTGTGTAAACGGCTAAAAAGTGATTGTAATAAAACTCTTCCTGCGTTTTTGGAACTGATTGTTATTATCTCAAATTGTAACTTGCAGGGTGCTGGCGTAGAAATATACGGGAGTAAGTGCGGGTTCCCTGAGTGAGAATGGACCTGCTGTTGCAAGGAAGGGCTCCTCATTAAGCTGAACATCAGCTGAGACACTTGCTTTCTAAAGGTTGGAATGATTTCACCTAAGAAATTATGCTTTATTACATTCCCATGTTGGGTCCTATTGTTTTCTGATTTTGAAAGGCCTAAATAGTATATAAATTCTAATAATATCAGTAGCTAATGATTGAAAGTCTTTTGCAAGAATGCTTTGTTGCCTATAGATCTGCAGAAATGACAGAGGAATGCTGCATCACACTGTGCTACAGCATGTCAATCAGCATAGTTTTTCTGCTTTATTTTTAAAATAGTGTGAAAAAAGCCAAGATTTTTTAAGCAGGCAGTGTTGAAAAGACAGTTCCTTGAAACATTTGTTTCAGTGTCACAGGTCTTCTTAGATGAGCATTATGACATTCCCAAAATATCCGTGGTGAGTAATATCATAAAATGAAGGTTATGGTGTTTTCTTGGTGACAGCTACAATTTTCTCTAACCTGCAAGAAAATGCCCAAGATGAAACTGAAGGTATGCAATATTTAGGAATTTTAGATAGAAAAATCAGACCTAATTTACTTGTTTTTAGCATTAAAATCTGATTAAGGATCTGAGTCTTCCTGCTTTTTTCTTTTTTCTTTTTTTTTTTAAGATTGCCAGAATATATTTGGGCATGGAGAAAGAGAAGTTTGGTAAAGCTATAATATTATAGAATCTGAGGGAGAAAGGAACTTTCAAAAGTCAGCTAGTTCAACTGTTCATTCAAAACTTTGACATTGTGGTTTCTGTGGTCCTGCAGTTCCCTTCTTACCGTGGTTGGCTTTCTATAAACAGATAGAATGAGGATGGGTGTGTGATAGCAGCGGTGGCTCTGGCTGGCTTCTGTTGAGGTTGGAGGTGGGGAAATCCATGTGCCAGGTTGAGGGCTGTGTTTACTGGAGTGGATAGTGGAGTTTGCCTCCATTTTTTATTGGTAGAAGGAAGTGCCTCCCTGTCATCTGCCTCTCTTGGCAGCAAAGGTGAGCTAACTCACTGGATATTTGTGAACTTCAAAGCGATGACATAGATCTCAGTCTACTAAATCTCAGTCATAGAGAAGAATTAAGCATTGACTGAGTTAAGGAAAGTTTAAAGCAGTTTCAAGAGTACTCCTTGTCATCCTTCAGGGTCCACTCCTGAAGAACTAGTTCTTTATTTCTTCACAGGTCTGAAGGGTGAAGTCAAGGTGTCAGCTGGACAGTGCTCTGATTTGAAAGCTCAGTTGGGGCTGGACGCAATGGCTCAGGCCTGTAATCCCAGCACTTTGGGAGGCCAAGGTGGGCAGATCACCTGAGGTCAGGAGTTTGAGACCAGCCTGACCAACATGGAGAAACCCCGTCTCTACTAAAAATACAAAATTAGCCAGGTTTGGTGGTGCACGCCTGTGATCCCAACTGCTCGTGAGGCTGAGACAAGAGAATCGCTTGAACCCGGGAGGCAGAGGTTGCAGTGAGCCGAGATTGCGCCATTGCACTCCAGCCTGGGCAACAAGAATGAAACTCCATCTCAAAAAAAAAAAAAAAAAAGCTCAGTTGGAAGAACCTACTTCCGAACACATTCATGTTATTCATCAACAGAATTCATTTCTGTAGGTTGTAGGACTGAGGTCTCTGTTTTCTTGTTGGCTATTGGCTGGGGCTTGCACTTAGCTTCTAGAGGCTGCTCTCAGATTCTTGCCCCATGGTCCCCTCTATCTCGGCAAAAGAGAACCTCCCTCAAGGCAAACCTTTCATGCTTTGAATCTCTCTGACTTCCTCTTTTCCAACCAGCTGGAGAAAACTGATCAGGAACCTTAGTTACATTGCAAATTGCAGTGCAAAGTCCTTTTGCCATTTTATCGTCATGAAAATAATGCCAGGGGGCTGGGATCATGGGGCTCATCTAGAGTTTGCTTCAAGATTGGGAATTAAAGGAAAATAGCACTGTCTTACCTATCTGCATCCTAGTTCCTAACACAATGCTTAACAGATAGTAAATATCCAATAAATATCTGTTGAGTGGAGAAGATTCTAGGATGAAAAGGGTAGACAAATTGTTCAAAATTTGTGATCCTGTATGAAGATCAGGAAACCACATAAAAGAGCAAGACAATCGCTCATTGAGATTCTTATGGCAAGGAATTTGTAAACTCCAGTTAGATGACAGGAGGAATGCTTGGCAGAAAAAACTTGAAAGCTCTAACAAACTGTGTAGAAATAGTCATGTTTTAGTTGGGCTAGCTTGTATACTGAACTTTGTCATAGTTTGTTTCTGCAGAAAATAAAGCACTTAAAATTCAGACGAGTAGAAAGGCAGATGTAGCTGAAAGAGTAGATCCAGAGGAGCTGATGTAATGTGCACCTGCTGAAATGGAGCTTTATGCAAGATCTGACCTTTCTGAGCAAGTTGAGGGAAATTGTAAATGAACTGGTTCCTGCCTTTACACAAAAAGGCCAGATAAAGAAGAAAAGGTTAAGTGAACTGGGGATCATGCAAGCTGATGACAACCTAATGCCACAAGTGATGTTTGTTGGAATTATGGGGATCCAGTTCAAGTGGAATGAGAAAGAGTGTTTTGGCACATTTCTGATCACAATGACATTAGATAGCAAGATAGTATATTTTGCACATGCTGCCCGAAGAATCACTGTTGCCGTTGTAGTTTGCTTTATGTCTGTATTTTATATTTGATTATTCTGCTGGGCTTGAGTATAGATTTATTTCTGTTAGCAGATGTTGCACATCAAACACTCCTTCTTTATAAGAAAGATTGTAAAAACGTATAACAGAAAATATTTGGAGATTTCTTATCTGAAAGCCTCACTTTCTTAAACATATAGTTCTCTTGTAATAAGCCCATTTGTAACTGTCTAGTGTAATTATACTTTAATCGGGCGCTTCAAAGAGGAGGAAGAAAGGAAGAGAATGTGAGACGAGTGCATAAAATGCAATAGGTGTCACATGTACAGCCTTCTTCTCAGAGTGTCTTCTTATCCCAATTACAGTGAGTCCAATTTCCACCCTAGATTTGCATAATAGTTGTCCTAAAATAAAAGCTTTTATGATTGGGAAGTTATCTGCCTAATCAGACTTATTATTGGGAATCTTAATGGGATGCATTTTCATGTTGAACTGTGTAATCATCAAAACAGCAATAGGTAGCACAGCACGTCTGAAAAAGAGATGAAATGTGTTGTTCAGAGCCACCATGTACATAGAGCATTTTTACTATTGCTGAATGAGAATGATTAAAAAGAAGGTATTTTTCCTTCATTGTAATAGTATTCTGATCATATTTCTTTCACAGTCAAAATGATTACCTATACAACCTATATCGGTTGTGTGTTTTTGGTATCATATTGTTGAGACACAGCTTTTAATAATATATATTTAAAAAGTGTATATGACATTAATATGCGTAATGATTAAGATTATAGTGATGAAATAATAAAATCAAATATTGTTATTTTTTCAAACCCATTATGGACCATAGTGCCAGTGTAGCCTATGTGATTATCTTAAGAACCCACAGTATTTTATCTTTTCGGTGTTTCAGAAAGAGTATTACTGTTTTTTTTCCCTAAGTGTGGTTATGTTTGTTTCTTAAATTTGAAAAAAAAAAAAACCCTCTTATTTTTAAGATGCTACTAAATGTAGAAAGATATATGTTAGATTTATTGTTTGATCACTGAAATTTTTTTTTATTTCTTTTTAAAAATCCTGTTGCAAAGAGTTTTAAAATGTAATGCTGATTAATTCTACTTCAACTTCAGCCAAATATTGATTAAAAACCATTTATTCTTTTTTCATTTTCCCTCTAGATATGATGCTTTAAGATAAAGCCATTTATTCATCTTAAAAAAAAACATGTTGGTTTTTCAATTGAATTTTCACTTTATCTTGGAGTTTAGATTTTGTATATTCTTTTGTAACTTTCTAGAGTGTCAAGACAATATACAGATAGGTCAGTGAAGTTAATACCATCCTTGTTCCTGATAGTTTTTCAGAGTTTATTTTGATTTCAGTTTAAATCTAAGCTAATATTAATTTTTATTCATGTGATTAGTTATTAGTGAATAGGCCTTATGTGGTCTTGTTTAAGTTACGAGAGTAGATTTTTTCTCAGTCATGGAGAGTCATACATCTCAGATGGCATAGTGTAGGGAGTATTGAGAGCACCCTGGAGTGGTATGGATTTGGCATTTTAGATGAAAATGCTGATGTGGAAAAATGATAGTCTTCTGTGTTGATTGAGCTACCCTGTGTTCTGTCTTTCTGGTCTTCCCTTAGTGTAACCTGAATATGGCAGGTAGCAAAATTCTGTACCTTAATTGACTACATTTGAGCTTCACAAGTATCACCTTTCCTAGGTTTCTTGTTCTGTCATTGCACCATAGATGTAAACATGAATGTATTTTTAAAAACTGCCTAGAGATCATTTGACCTCAAGTATATCCCCCTTTCCTGGAGTTGTAGAAGGATGATGAAATATTTATTTTCTGGATTTGGCTTTCCAGATGGAGATGAAGAAAGTTGTATATCAAACACTGATGACCTCATGGGAGCAATACTACTTTTGTTTCTTTATAATTCAGTTTGCTGCTGCTATTTCTTCTCCTTTCTAGGAAAAAAATTCCATGGGCTTCTTTGGAAATTAAGATAAATTTGATGACTGGGCTTTGATGCAAATTTTATGCATGAAGTTTTATTTTATTGTGTGATTTTTAAAAGTGTGTATAAGTAATATTTTTCAAGGTCTTTTATGTGTTAGTGTTAAAGTGAACATTCTCCTCTTTTGCCAGCTCTCACTATTAACAGAAAAATATATATCTTAAAAACAACAAACCAGGCATAATATAATAATGCTCTGAAAATTGCTATTGCTGTTTTCCCTTAACACCTTGTGGAAAATTATGTCTGTACATGCAAATCCACCTCATCCCTGTGTATTTGTGTTCTACTCCATTGCCAGAGTTCTTTCAGTTGTAAGTGACAGAAACTCAGCTCCAGCAGGCCTTATACAGGTCGATCCTGGATCTAGGAAGTCTGAGGACAAGAGCTGGTTTTAGGCATGGTTGGTGGATCCATCTTTTTAGTTCTGCCTTTTCTGGTGGGGCTGTCACTCTCAGGTTGGCTTTGTTCGATGCGGTGCCAAAGATGGCCTCAGCAGCCCCAGTTTTTATGGACTTGGAGAGAGAGACTTCTTTCTTCTAGCATCTGCTTGACTCTGGCCGTATTTTCTGCTTGTGTTTTGACCACTCACTATACAACCAGAGAAATGGAGTCATCTGTTCCTATTAAATCACGTTTCTATCCTGATAGAGAGCGGGTAGAGCCGCGTGAATGATGCCTTCCAGGTGATGGAAGGGCAGTTTCTAGGGGAAAGGGGCAGGCTCTGTTGCTAGAAGAAGGTGGAAAGACTGCTTTGCAGGCAAAAACATCAATGTCTGCTGTGGATGGATGAGTCATTACTTAACCTATT